ATGGGACAGTCCCAGTACCAAGCACTGAATGTGGTCGATTGTTTCAATTCTTTTACTGGAAAAAACTATACGATTTTTAGAGATTACACTGTGCAAGCTATGGCTCTAAACTACATTACCTTTTTATTATTTTTAGTTTTCATTATGTTACTCGACGTTATGCTATATGTTTCCCTCTTCCAGTAATATTGCATTAGATTTCCAATATTCATGGTGTGTTTTTCCATCTTTCACAGATCAAGACTTCATGGGCTTTTTAGATGAAAAATTATCAATACAACATGAAGCATCAGCAAAAAACCAGTGACACATTGCCAACATGCTCTTGTTCCCGGTGCCAGCATCAATAATTCAAACACTAGCTCATAACTTTATTTTCAATGCATAATTGAGGCCAACCCGTGATGGTTGGTCTTTCTTTATTCAGCCATTTATATGTTGAGCAATTTTTAAACAATAAGAGCAGCAGTCCATTAAGCTTTTAACATCTCCCTTTCATATTCCAGTACACGCTGGAAAGTATGGACAGTGGCCTGTGCTGCTGCTTTACTCTGTGCTTTGTCGTCAGTGCTGTAAGTGGTGGATTGCTTTCAGGTGCTTTTTTTTGTCTGTCGTTGTATCTAGTGAGCGCATGAAAATCTTAAAGTGATAACTGTGGGGAAAAGCTGTGGTGTGGAAGTGAAAAAAGTATAGACTCCACATTTAAAAAGTGTGGTTTGGAAAGGAAGGGGTCTCAGGCTGAGGTGAGAATTTGCACCTGCAGAAGCACTTCCATTTGTGCAGGGCATGGGTGTCTGTGTCTTTCTAGTAATTTACAGCATGCCTAATTCATTTCAAAGCTATTTTCTAGCTTTCTAAGTTGTTTTCACAGCTAAATATTTGCAGTGGAGAATGCAACTTGGAAGGGCACAACCACTACCATGTGACTCATTATATGACCTGGCTACATTTATTATGTGTTTTGTACTACTGCTTAATAAATATTGATTTACTATTTTAATTACATGTTAATCTCAAAACACATAGGTACCAGGGTTATTACTCTCTCAAGTCATATTGCAAATTTCCTGTTTGCAAATATTTGTTGAGGATGACATCCTGAGAGGGCCATAAAAGTGAATAGCAATCATTAAACAGAGACTAGCTGTCTACAATATCTGCAAAAGTGTCAATATCAGCAGCACAGACTGACCCAGTCTTTAATCAATTGCTTTTACACTTCTTTGTCAAAAGCAATAATTTTCAGGGCATACACGCAAAAGATATAGGTAGAAATCTCAAAAGTCCCTTTCCGTATTTAAATATGGATTTAAGAAAAGAATCTTTAATGTATATTTCATTTTCTTCTTAACTTAGGAAAACCAAATAATCAGGTTTAAATTTCCTGACAAGCTTTTGAACTTTCCAAACAGACAGAATGACCCCAACCAATTTTATGAAAATGAATAATGACTCCAGTATTGTTTTGAGATAAGTGTAGTAAAATGTTAGTACAGTCCCAGAGCAACTCGTGATTGAAATGATATTAAATGAAAGCATGAAGAAAAGACAGATTAAAAGGTCCCTTTTTATTTATTTATTGTATGAATGAAATTATCCTAACCATTTAAAGACTCCTTTTTTTTTTTGACAGATTTGAAGACCTGTTAAAGCAGCTCTTTGAAACTAAGTCCAGGTAATAATTCTCCTAAAGGTTGCAATCTCTTCCGGTTTCTGTTCACAATGATGCAAATCGAATCAAAGGAATTTAAATAACAAGCATTAACTAAGCTGTGTGTGAACTTCTTGCTGTTGTTATACTAAATCATTTTCCAAACAAGAGGGACTTTTTCAGGCCTTCCAAGATATTGAGTTTTAAAATGGGAGAAAACAATGGGGCAGGTAAAAGCTATTTTTTTCTCCTTGTACTAGAAGTTTTTTTTTCCCTTCTCTGTTGCACATAAAAAGTGCTTTGCGTGAAACCAGTAAACAGTAGTTCTTTCATAAGCACATGCTTGACATTTGTAGTTCAAAGACAAAATACTTGAAACTCAAACATCAATCAAACAAAACTAAGATTATACTCTGGTAAAACAGTTCCCAGGAAGGAAAAGGAATAAATAAAATACAAACATGGAAATAAAAACTCATAGCTCCAACAGTATTCCATGTTCTCATTACTATAATTTATCATTGTATACTATCTGTAAACATATACTGTATATACACTGTCATAGTTTTTGTTTTGTTTTTTTGCTTGGCATGAAAACCTGCAGACCCCTTAGGCCCTTTCTGTATGTGACTCCTAAAAGGTTATCATACAGCACTGGTTCTTAAACATTTCTAACATGTCCTCTTTCAAATGCCAGAAAAATCTCAGCTCTTAGAGTTTGTATCAATGTTTAACTAAATTAAAATATTAAAGGTGAATTCCAGTAAAATAAAGGTGAGCATGACACAACTGGCTGGCTGTAATTAGTTCATCATATTTGCCTCGTATTTTTTCTTTGGTCATTTTGCCTGAACAAAAGTTTAAAAAAAAACCATTTACTTTTGATGAGGGTGAACAACACTGAGTGTGTGTTTGGGAATAATCTATGCAGTATGTAGTATTCACATGGTTTGTTCCTGAGATCAAGGTGGCTGGTTTAATTGAGCCTGTACTGGACCCAGGGCTGAGAGTGCAGGCAGAGGAACATCGATAAACTATAAAATGGTTCCAATATGGCTAATCGATGAGGCTTTGTGAGCAGCTCCCTTGGGACTTTGATTTTCCTCTCAAACAACAATCCAGGATCTCTGGTCTTCAAAGCCAAACTCCATCTTTGCTGTTATTGTAGTTGTTGCTTTCCCCGTGTTTGAGTGATGTCACTGAGGTCGATTTCATCCCTGTCCATAAAGACTCTCCCACACTTGAATCACCCAGGAGACAGCTTCGCTTGGTCTGTGCAATGGTAACAACAACCAATAAAGGTCAATCTCCCATGGTAATGGCCAATTGGGTTTGTTCCCGTTATTGGCCCTCTGAGCAGTGGTCAACAGATGGAGAGCTGGCATCACTGACGCAAGTTACACTCCAACCTTCTGTATCCAGGCACTGCTGTGTGATTCTACTCATCTTCTCCCTCAGCTTGTGTTGGCCTGTACATTACTCTATCATGCACAGCTTTTGTATGAGGAGGACCGTCACAGTAGAGTCACAGGAGTGCTGCCAGTGAGGGCTAACCGTCTAACCATTTCAGCTAATTGCCTCATTAATGATTCACTGGTGTTAGGCTGCTCTAGCACTTCGCTGTGGGGAGCAAATTGTTCTGATTGGTTTGCCTCTGTCAATTATTGATGAGGCAGTGAGCTGAAGTGCTAACACCTGGCTTTAGAAGTCCAAGTGGCCCTGCATTCCCATCACATCCTCTGTTATCACACACCTTGGGACTACATTCTGTTTGGAGAGGATGTAGTCTTGACGGTAGCAGTTCTCTGAGAATGGACGTAGCATGCCCTGGGGTAATAGCTGCGATCTCACTTGCGAGCATGTTAGCTCAAAGAACATGGCTAGCTGCTGTGCAAAAGCTGGACAAAAAAAGACACTTGTAGTGATTTGTGCCGTAACTAACCGAAGGCAAACACAGGAAGAGGCACCACTGATGAAGCTAGACTGTGTACATGTATTTATATGCAACTACAAATAACAGCAAAATCTAAAATACTTGATTATAATAATGTAAAACTACTAGAAATCCTAATCATAAATCATATTCTTAAGTGTATATTTTACCATCACTCATCATGTCCTTAGGACTCATGTTAGGCAAAATTAAACAAAATATAAATAGATAAAAGTAAAAACATTTTCCACAAATGGACACAATGTAAATACAATGACATAAAAATGTATAGATTCAACCAGCATCAGTGGAGCTGTGATGGTATGCAAAGCAATGCCAATACTTTGTTTATGGTGATTTATAATGGGTGCAGGCAGCACCTTTACAGTAGGGTCATGTAATTGGATCTCCAGTAGATAGCAGCTGAATTCCACTATAGTCTCTGTGTCTAATGGCCCACCCACAAAGACCTCCCTCTGGCCACATGAATCATTCTTTCACAGTGCACAAGATGCTGGAAGGTCTCCCGAAACTTTTTAGAAACACACAACACAATAAAGAAAATGTGTAAAAAAAATGTTTATGGTTCAAAATGGTAAATCACAACCAGACTAAATAATATTTTAATAGAATTAAATTAGACTCACCCATGCTGTTAGTGAATTGCCTCATCTCTCCTTGGCCTTAATTGAAGCTGATTATAGAGTCACCCCCCCATGCTGACGCCACTGTCACTCTGAATCTCAGCCAAGTGGGCTTTCCATGTACACTCACAGGGTGGTCATTCTGCCTTTGTTTTTACACTGGGACCAGTGACAGCAGAGCCCATCCCACACTTCAAGTGCAGTGACTGTTGCTTACTGTGTGTCACAATAAACCCTGGACAAGCACGCACAGTTCAGAGAAGGGTCCTGTATTGCTCACAATGTGGACTTCACTCACAGTCTTGAGGTGTACTTAGTGTGTGTGTGTGTGTGTGTGTGTGTGTGTGTGTTTACATATCTTTGTGGGGACCAAAAAGTTTACTATAATTGTGGGGACCAACAGCCCTTATGGGAACAAAATGCCTGTCCACACGAGTTTGAGGGCATTTTTGAGACTCAAAATGTGGTTTTAGTGTCAGAGTTATAATTAGGTTATGGGTAGGTTTAGGGTAAGGGTTACGGTTAGGCATTCATTTTTGATGGTTAGGGTAATGGTAAGCAACTAGGGAAAGCATTATGTCAATTAGATGTCACCACAAAGATATGAAAACACAACTGTGTGTGTGTGTTTGTATGTGCGTGTGTGTGTTCACGGCGTACATGGAAAAACAACACTAGTCAATTGCAGTATGACTCCCACTTTAATTCTTGTCTTCTTTTCTTGTCCAACCCCTCCTCCCCCCTTTCTCTTTCTGTCTCTCTCCATTAACAGATAACCTAATGACTGAGCAGTGATGACATCAAAGCGACTGACCAATTGCACCGAGACACCTACAAAGCACAACATTCAAAATTATTTCCCGAAGAACAACAAACAAGGCCCGCTGGAATTCTTCAAAATCTCTACAGCGATTCTTGAAAAGCCTCTTACTACTCCTGTTTCCTTTCCCAATATTTTACCTCCAGCTTTTTTCTACAAAACCACAAAAATAAAAAACAAATAAAATAAAATAAAACAAAAATAAAAATCACAGAGACTCATAATCAGGAGATGGTTGATTCTCTTTGATGGGAAGATCACTGATGCATGCTTCTGTAAATAGATCACAATAAAACCCTATTCTTATTCCTAATATAGGAAACGTACCGAGTTGCTCTCACCAAATTCATAAACCTTCATTACTGTGAATAGAATACCCATGGTTCAATATTTTCCATATAAAATCAGTATTCTTACCTATTCAGAGCCCATGTAGCTATCATTTCAGATATTGCTTCTCTAGTCTTTGAAGTTAATTTGATTGTAAAAACTGTACTTACAATTGTTCTTATTCTCAGCCTAGTCTTCCTCTCCAGTATCCACACTAGTACGTGTAAATAGAGACAAATGAAGACAACCGCATGGATCAGACTTTAGTGTATATTTACCACGCTCTTAGATCACAAATCTCAGTATGTGGATATTTCAGACAACATTTTTGAAAGTTTAAAATAGCTGAAGATATTTTCTGATGGCCAGTGATTTAGTCTCAGATACCTGGATACTGTCTGAACAGATAAAATTTATTCGGCCACATTACAATGATTATACAACAGAAACTCCTTTGCTATCATCAGTGAATTCCATTGGGAAACAGGCAAATTGAACAGAAGAAGCAGGCAATTTGCCAAAGCCATGATTCGAACATAGCACCTCTAAGTATTAGGTTTAATATTTGATGTACTGTTTTTTTTTTTCTTTTTGTTTTTTTTTTTTTAATATATCATTTACAGATTTCTCCCATTGTCTTCTTATTTATTATTTTCTACTACAACAACTGCCCTGCCCTCTCATGCCCACTTCGTAACTGTTGTAGCAAAGCTGCTGTTAGCCTGAGAGGGACACATTTTTTTCTTTGCATGGTTTGAAACTGTGCTCCAGTCCTGAGCCTACACAGGGGCAAAAGAAGACCTCAGTAACTGCAATGTAGAAATGAGGATTCTGGCCTCTGCCTTCAGTGGACTATGAAGCTAACCAAAAGGACTGACTGACATCGTACCAAGCCAATGAAGAGATGACCTCAAGGATTAGGCCCTCACTGGTGAAGACAGAAATCCTTTTGCATGGACAACAGGGATAATTTCTAGCTTGTTGAAGACCTCATCTCCACCGTTGTGCATCCTCTACCTCTCAGTGTTCTGCTGTGCATCAAGAAATCCATGTCTTCACACTGACCCCCCTCTACTACCCCACGTTTCTGCTGCATGTCCCTCTAGAGCCTCACGAGGAGAGTTCAGCATTACATGCTTTGGATGGATCTATATGGCAATGGGAGAAACCAAACCAATGCCCAACAAGTACACACATATGACGCATGCATAGAGATGCTCAATCATACACAATGCCTCTCAAATATGTTGCTGTATATATGTACACTATGTCAAGTATGTATAGTCTCAGATGCTGTACTTTGCATGTTGATTTGTAGATGGAATGTGACCTTTATTCAAACAAGAGGATGAGCAGGTAGTGAGTGGATTGACTCTCTAAACCAATGCAAGCCCTTTGACAGCTTTACATCTCCATATTTGATGGCAGGAGATTTACAGTAAGGTGACAGAAACAGTTTGATGTCTACTGTGACATGTTGTCTTCCAGCAAACAGCAGTTCTGATAAAGTTTAAACTCTCTGAAGGAACACATACTGTCCCTGCTGATGTCACACAGAATCTGGCCACAGCGAATGTGGGTAGAAGAAGAGAAGGAAAACTGGGGCGCTCCAATTAAGTGGCAGCGCACAAAGTGGCATAGGGCATCCTGCCAGCAACTGTCTATTCATCCAGTGTCAAAGGGATTTGCACGTCTCAATGAGTGTATGCACTGACAGAGAAGTCCAAGAGCAAAGCAGAGGAGGGGAAGGAAAGGAAACAAGGCTGGGCTGAAAGGAGATTTTTTTTTCTTTTTTTGTGTAATTTCACAGCTTCATTTCTGATCAAAATTTAAGGTTGTACTAAGCTTATGTTGACATACTTTACTGGTCGGTCCACTTATTTGTCAATTTTTAAAAAAATTTCAATAACCCCTTGACCCCATCTATTACTATCATACAGCTCTCTGGGCTGTCATGACCTAATGTCCTGTCTAAGGTTAACTTTGTGTTAATGAGTATGGCCCTCTGCTCCACCAGATGTTCACCCTTGTGGCCAAATACCCAATACCCTCTGTGCTTCTGTAATGCCTGCCCACTACATCTGTACTCTTTCTGGATGCAGCTGCAGAAATTTCTCAACCATCAAAAATGCAGTTGAAGTAGGAAACGACATCAACTCTGCAAAACAGGTGCTTTCTTTTGGAGTAAAATTAATAAAAGACATAAATCAAAATGCTGCACCATAAAAATAGAATTTTAGCAGAATACATGTACTAATTGTACAGAATACCAATTTGTGTGTCTTACACAAAGTAGGTCTTACAATTTATGTGAGCAAATCTTCTTAAATCAAATATTGTCATAGCACACCAAAGCTATTTACAGTCAACATGTAAACTGACTTGAAATTTGGACTTCTGACTTAGTGGTGATTAGTTAAGGAAGATTTAAAACACAGAAAAGGATGAAGATGTCATTCAAATATGAGACTGTGTGTGGTCTGAGTGTCAAGGCTTTCCACTTTGTTAGAAGTGAAACAAAGATGAAGCCGTATGTGACAGGTAGATGTGCTTTCCATGTTTTTGATTGCAGTGTTTAAACACTACCCAGCAATAAAACTGGACAGGGCCAGAACAATATAGACAGCTATACACCTTAACACACAAAACGTGTGTAAATGCATACAAGCACAGAAGCACATCCTTGATCTTTTTGTGACAGACGCACACACACGCGCACAGCAAGCTAATCTAAACAGCAAGGCTGTATGTAAACAGATCGTCGACATAATGGGATTGTTCAGTGTGCAAACAATAAGCTGTTAGTGTAATCACAGGTCAAAGATATATTACCCAGAGGGCCACGCTGTATGTATATTAACATGATGGATACGCTGGAGAGGAGGGGGCAGGGATATCAGGGATATAGCTCTACTGATTCGGATTTACCCCCTACTGGGTCTTGCCCGCTGCCTTTCTCTCCTCTGGCTCCTTCATATGGGCCCCACTTAATCAGTTTTCTTCTCATCTTGCTCCTCCCCCCATTCACCCACCTCTTTCTTATACACCAAATTCTTCTATTTCTTCACAACGTTCCCTCTTAAATACTTCAGTCATGTCTTTAACACAGTATCTTCATTTACTTATTTCCTCTCCCTGTCGCCCCTGGGCAGATTATGATCAGCTTCGGTAAAGTGGTCAGTCCATCTCTGTGGTCAGTGGGGTATCAGGATAAAGTAGCTCCACAATCTTATTTTTGGATTAGGCCAAGAGAGGTCTGGCTTATACTGGACTACTGAGGTGCTTCACCCATGTCTAATAAAAACAGTGAAAGAGCAAGGCTAGAAGACAAAAGACAGCACCATGTTGGGGAAGAACAATGCATGTGATAAAGAGAGATTGCTACATGTTCCCCTTAACTATGTACTGTGCTTGTGTGTCACAGTGAGTAGCAGCATACTAGAGCCATTTCGGGCAGGATAAATGCCGCAGAGCTTACTTTATAAGATCTCACCTTATTAACTTATCTCTACTTTATTTGATTATGATCTAGCCCATTCTCTAAACTGGTTAATAAGTCCATGTCCTCCTGACTAAACACTTGATTAGTGTCATCACCGGCTAGCTTGTGTGTGTGTGCTGCATATGCCTGTGGATCATTGAAGCAGATGCACACTGGGGCCAAGTGACAGAGTAAACACATAGACAGAACACTACAGAGGAAAAACAACCTGAATAAAATGGGCCTGTTTGATTATTTCAAGTCTGTCTGCCTTCTGGATGTGTGGCTGAAGATATGGTGTAAAGCTTTTGTGTGGACAACCAATGCTCAATACAGAATAGTGAAAAGGCAATGTTACATCAACTACTTCATTACAGCTGCTGGCAGGTCAAATCCCGTTATAAAACTATCCCATGAGTGTAAGACAGTTGCTTGTCACAGGCAGCTAGTTAATCCTATGCCAGCTGCTAAGCAAAGTTCTGTTACCTTGCCTTGTGAGTGATTGGTTGTTGCTATGACAATCGTGCCAGCAAAGATACTTCCCAAGCCTCAGGCATCTTAACCATCAAGTATTGACACTACGCATACATGTGAATCCTGCCAAGGACACAATGCTGTAGCAAGTGATAGCTGCCCCCCACCCCTGGCACACAAGAGAGAGAGATCACTGTTCTGAACAGGAAATAGCAAAAATGTATCATGGAAAAAATGCATGACTAAAAGGCGATTTATTGGAAAATATGAGTATAAATTTGACAAGCTAAGATTTTATAGTAAGACCCCAAAATTCTTTTTAGTCAAAAAAGCTACAAAAGACTCACTTAACACTGTATAACAGAGTGGCATGGTATTTGGAGCTCTTTAAGTAACCACCAACTTTGATCATGAAGGATGGCGGTACAATTTCCAGTGTGGATTTTAAATTCTTATTTTGTGTTTGTGTAGCATTAAGCTACACAACTATAAACTTATCCAGATGACCTCTATCCTCTATTTCTATGTTAAGTAATACTGCAAATATTATTAGAAGAAAGATTTGAAATGGGATATATATATATATATATATATATATATACACACATACATACAGTAACTTTGGTGACAGACACATGCTTGACAGCAGCTCTTCTCACCATGCAACTCTGTACTGCAGAAATATGCAGCAGCATACATATCCATGCCCTGCTCTTCTTTCTGTCACACACAGCCCCTTTTCATACACACAAAAACACACACTTTGGCTGTCTGTGTCTATGTCTGATGGAGTGTCATGATTAGCAGTGACCTCAAGCTAGACAGGGATGGGGTAGTGGGAGTGGGGTCAAAGGTGGAAGGATTACAGTGAAGCAACCCGTGTCAAGTCCTCTACTTCAATCCTGACCTCCAGGCTGACCTGAGCCTCTTGAAAAATTATTCACATATATGAGGTCAACATACTGTGGGTACATCAACACATTACTCACAGAATATCTAACTCATGTGTGTATTTGAACTGAGAGAGGACTCTTAAAATGCTTGAAATGTAACACATGAAGTGGTGTGGACTTTGACGTAGGGATACAGTGGATGAAGTTTGGTCTCACAACCAGACAGCAAGAAAGACAGGACAGCCCTCCTTATGCCACATAGCTAATGGCAGGGATGAATAATAGAGCCTTTAAAGCCCTTACTGCCACCTCATTCTGGCCTGCACATAAGCTTGAGCTCTAGGTGGGCAGTTAGCCATCAAGCCCCTTGCTGAGATGAGATGGGCTCCCAAGAAGATTGGGGATGGGGGTGAAGAAAATCGGATTAACCAAAATGCCTCAATTGGAAGAAATGCTCTGGGCTGACATCATTGTAATACCATTGATAAATGCTGTAAACCAAATCTTTAGCATCTGATTAGATAATGGAGGAAATCACAACCTTTTTCTGTGGGATACAATGGTTCAAAACACACAGAATGTGAGTTTTTAAAAACAAAAACAAAAAAACGAGAGACAATAGGGACTTCTACAAATAGCCAAGTTTGCTACTATAGAAACAAATAAATGGGGAAATAATAAATTGCCAGGAGCTGTGGACAGGTGGCATTTCAGTCTGCACCGTTTAGCTGTGCAGTCTGGTTTCTGACAGCTTGATTTAGTCTCCCACACCTGAGCCAGAAAACAGAGAGAAAATTAACGGCAGGGAAAACAGCTTAACTAGATTCCAATTTGCCTGCTTTGAAACACAATTGATGAAGCTAATGCACATGGAAAACACAGAATGCAGTTTTTGGTAGAGTACCAAGCTTACTTTGATTGTGCGAAGTCTGTGCACACTAATTCGGGGTCAGACAGGAAGGTAATAGTACTAATTTAATTTACCCCTGTTTTGTTCTATTCTGCTTCGGGGGTGGGGGGTAAGGGTTTACCTTTAGGGTGTAAAACTGAGATTATAGTGGCTCAAGAGGAGATAACATGCTGTTCTCCTTGCTGTGATTCGGGTGTAATCCTTCAGTTTTAGAGAAGTGAAAAGTTTGTAAAGTCCAGAAAGTTATGAATACATCCCTTCTGGGCCCCCTACAGAGCAGAGAGTCTGAGACAGCAGGGGATAGCCATATGCTATCAAAGTGTTCTTCAAAGCTCCCATCTTTAGTCGACTAAATTATACAGTATCATCACATATACCTGACAAAAATAGAAGAAACATAATTATGCAGCCTAATGTACTAATGGGGGAAAAAAACATTACTAGAAAAAATATGTTTTAGGAAGTCTGGCCACTTTGAAAGGTAAATAATTTTCTTTTTCACTCGAACGCGTTTGTTTAAACTGCGTTTGTGCTCCAGTAGTGTGGGTCAGCTCGTCATTTTGTTTTTACATGCTTTTAAAATACTGCTGCTGGTGAACAATTAAAAATTTATGATTCCTATCACAATGAGCTCCTTCACTGTTACCAGAGGTTAATTTGTGCTCGCCCCTCATTTCAATTGTACCGTAGTAAATGTCCACATTATTTCCCACATGGGCCTGGATGAGGGGTTTGATTATCCAAAGGTAGACCTTCGTTGGCTCTGTTATTATCAGAGGGGCCGTAAGCTGCAGTAACAGCTTCTAGGGTCTTATTGCTATGGCGATCAGCCCCTTGCCACTTGGCCTCCATGACCCTAGTCAGAGATAAGCTTTATGGGAAAGCACATTAACATGCTCTGGCAGTCACCTCCCTCCTTTATCAAAGGCAGTTCTGTGAAATCAAGTGTTTATGGACCCCCAGTGAGGGTATAGTGCTGCTGATTGCCCATATTAGAGGTTGACTGTAAATGAGCTCGAGGTGGACAAAGGACTTGTAGCAGTTGGGAGAATTGAGGATACGTAATAGTGATGTTATCCTCACTAAATGAGCAATATCTTTAATGACTGCAACACCCCATGAGCAGGTTACTAGCCCCTGGATTACAAATGCTGTCTGCAGCCTAAATATATCCATGTCTTCCATTCTTTCTACAAAAACTGACAAAACTATAACAATAAAAATGCAAAATCTGCTTTTAGATATGGTGTAACATATTTTGTAGTCATTTATTCTATTCGCACTATACTGTAAGTGGCAGCTTCTTCTTCGACTGTCTTCTCGTTTGTGTTGCACTACATCCATTAAATAAAACATTTTAAAGGCCTTTTTTCTACATTTCCAAGCACACTGATGTGGGCATTTTTCTGTGGCTATGAAAGGCACAATTCGAAAAAGAATGTGTCAGTGTCGAGTGCCTGCTTAGAGCCTGATCGCTGATATAAGATCATCTCAGTATGTCCGCAGTGATGGATGGTGATAGCCCAGTGTCTTTGTACAAATCAGGAGGCCCTCCTGTTGTCACTGACTGGACAGATACAGGAAGCATGAAAGAGAGAGACGCAGCCACAGCTTAATGTCCTTCTCTGGTGCTGTGCATGCTCTTTCCTATTTGCTTTTCCCTTCACGGCACGGTTAACATCGTAAATTAACCTTTCCAAGCCCCCTGTGCTCAGAGACTAGTGCGCAATACAGACAAAGGGAAAACTAGATCTCTGTTATGCAATGCGGTAGCACTGGTCAGAGACAAAGCCTGTTACAGAACTGAGCTATTCCTTTTGCAGTGAAGGGGAATAAAACAACACACCTTGTTTAGTCGAGCAAACATTCTCTTTTATGTGCATGTCCCATGTACTCAAATCGGTATGAGGCTGCTTTTTGTTCTCCATCCTAGAAATGTAAATGAAACACATGAAAGAAAATGTATTGTAGTCTTTTCTTCCTAGTTCAAGTCTGTAAATAGGATGTAAATACCAAACAGCTATGCATGCTAATATACAAGCAATTTGTTCAGGTACTTTTGTAATCCCGACTTCTCATATGGCATGTAGTGACGACAAGAAGCAAACACTGAAAATCATAAGAAATTGTAAACACGGATATGGTTTGTAAACAACTTCAAAACTGAAAAGTATATGTCTTTGCTGTTAATGTTTTCTTACTGATAACTAATGCATTGGCCTGCCATTTACTACACTGCTCTGCTCATGTTACTTTTTATCTTTTTTATGTTTCGTAAGGTAGGGCTGAGGCAAAAAAAAAAAAAAAATCACTGGTTTGTGGTCTAGTTGGGATGGGGACTAAGAAGCTGAGGGGAAAGCAGTCAGATCATGTTTGTAGGTCTTTTGCTTTTTTGTTGATTTGTTTTTCTTTTCTTTTTTTTCTTTTCTTTTTTCCATTGCCACTGCATGTTTACATGCATACGCTTAATAATTAATTACATATCCTGAATGTCTTCCACAATAAATCAAGTGTTGTGGCAAAACTACTTAAAAGTAGTGAAACTGCGGTGCAATTTTAGTTATTTCACCAAAAAAGTCTTATCACCAGCTTTAGAGTGTGCTCTTTAAAAAAGGCATTAATCTGTTTTCTATAAAAGAAATAACAATTCTGTAAATGTCTGTAAATTCCGATTAACAACAAACTACAAAGCTGGTACAACAGGCAATTTTGACTCCAAATTGTCCAACTCATGACATGCAAGGGAAAGAGTTTTTGATATTTTTTTTTTCTAATATTAAAAGAATAATAATGTCCAATGAAAAATGATGATCTATATTTCAAATTTGCCTCTGCCCTAGCAACTCTAATGTGACATTTTATGAAAACAGAAATAGGGAGGAGTGAAAATAAAAAATTGTTTTTGTTTCTAGAGGATTTATTTTCAACCATGTTAGAACCATGTTAAATCCCAAGGCGCTCATAGTAGATGGAAGTGTCTAATTTTTAACCTGTGCTAAAGATATTTTGAATTTAATAAATAATTATTGTAAAGAGAAAACATGTCTGTCTTCTGAAGTCTCTCTTGAATCCTTCTGCGTATGAGTGATAAAGTAAAACTAAACAGTGAAGGGAAACTAAACACAATTACAGAGTTTAGTTATAAAACGCATTAATCCGGTGTTGTGTCCTGATAAACGCTAGCCCTGCTCTGTAAGGGAGCCTAACTGCTTGATTTTTCCTCTTTTTATATCTTTGGTGGAGTACAAGGAAAGCAATTGACACAATGACCTTTGACCCCTGGCACCCAGTTGTATACGATGGAGTGGAGACCTCTCACTTCACCTTGGCTTTGGTGAACCAGACTGTCTATTACATGCCACTTTAATATCGCAGAGATTCCCATAATATTTGTGAGTTCTGTGGCAATTATCACCCTCGCATTTATCGCTAAGATTACTCCTCGCCTGAAACTAAAGGAATGGCTAATAGTTTTGTGAAGGTTATCAGACTCAGTCTTCAATTAATTAAAAGTCTCTTGCACAGAGCAAGGGAAGTTTGTACTTTGTATGTTTCAACAAATTGTTTACAAGAGGACACATTCAATTAGTTATTTCATTATCGCCCTAGGTGTAATCAATTGACAATGCCAATAACAAAGCCAAATCAATTTGTGAGCTGACTTCAGCAAATTTCTGTAAATGACTGAAGAGCACTTCTAGGTCCGTGTTTTTCTGCACCGTTTACGCAGAAACCCCAATAACGGGCCATGCTACTGTACAGGCCATGAGAATATTTGCAGATTTGAGTGTTTCAAAGATGTTTGATTCGGTGGCTTCGGTCAGGAATTCCACATGTACACACTGTCTTCTGCAGGGAGCAAGGTTCTGTATTTTTCTTTGCTCCTCTTTTCCCCTCGAGTGATATATGGCAAAGAAAGAAAGAAGCACTCGCTTTCCCTCTGTCATTCCTTTCTCTCCCCTCCTGTAGCATAGATAAACAATGCGAGTGACAGTCTCTCATCACTCAAGAGGCTGAATCTCTGGCCCTGACCCGATAACATCAAGTGTGTGTGTCACCTGTCAAGTGGCTTCTGTCACACTTCAGTGGGAACTCAAAAACAAGACTCTGTGCGTGTGTGTATGTGTGTGTGTGTGTGTGTGTGAAGTCGATTGGGGGATGGTGTTGTGGGTTTAAGAGTGCCTGTTGGCATGCAAGCGCAGGCCTCTTTAGGCATGAGTGGAGTTGAGAGTGGCGAAGGGGGGGGTGCTTCTGAAGGTATGCCAGGAAACTGAGAAAGAAGGAGGGGGAGGCGTAACGACCCAAATGAGAAGGACTTGTGCAGACACTGTGAAACTATCTCATTTTGTAGGCTCCGCTAGTCTCATTCTCATGTTCAGAATGGACAGGGTGATCTGGGAACGCAATTATTTTCACCTATAAAAGGCAACATATGCCAAGATCATAAAAGATCTTATTGGACAGTAATTTATTAAAGCAAGTCATAGAAATGGAGAGAGGTAGGGCACTAGCTATAATACGAAGGTGTCGTTCTGCTTCTCATTAGGGGCCAGTGTCAGTGAAATTCAATACTCCAGGTGGCTGACAACAGAGGGATAGAAGAGCTAAACAGAAAGATGCCCTCTCTTTATAAGATCCCGGGGAAAAGGGAACATTTACTGCAGCTATATTGTATTGAAATTCCATTCTTGATTCGTTTTCTGTGTTTCACTGGAAACTTCCATAGTTGAATATGTGTACTTAAATGCATCTTATTTCATGGGCACCTCTACTGCAGGACAGGCATCCTTACTATGATTTATTTTTCCATTTTATTGGATAAACATGCGTTTTCTTTTTCCAAAGGTACAAATGAACTGTAGAGCTTTGAGGCTAACAATGATCATCATCCTCATTGCAACAAACAGCTGCTACTAAGCAGAACTGGCATCCTCTTAAATGGATGAGTGATCTGAGACAGCGTGTTTGTTCCTATATTTCGAACGTTTAAATCACTGTTGAGCCCTGAATGAGCAATAATAAACTATCATTGTGATCCTCACAATACTGAATGATGTGGATTAGCCAGTGGGGAGCAGATTGTATTGAGGAACTTATCAGCATCTTCTCATTATCTAATACACGAAGTGAAGGGGGAGATGATTATGCTGTGGCACATTTAAACCAGAACAATAGAAGCGTGTGTACCTCTGTTCATTTGTTGCACAAAATGAACAAGGCAGATATATGCTATTGTCTGAGGTTATTGTAATGTTAAAATACAGTTTTTTTGTTAATGTAAATGATTGTAAATGACTCTTCTTTCAGACAAGAGCAGGTTTTTGTATTCTTCACTGAGATAAATACCATCACAAATGAGGCGGGACAAAACAAAAGCAGATACAGAGAGAAACGGGTAATTGTGAGGGAGGGAGGGAGGGTTTTTGTGCAAACCTATTGTGTAATGTTTGGCAACACTCTTGCATGTTTGTTGTCGTCTTTCACACTGACAACCACGTTCTGACACACTCAAAATGGAGGAACATCCTGCACTGCCTGCATTTTTCTGTTCATTTTAACCAAAAATGTGGCATATGTCAGCATGGTGTGCAGTGTGTTTTTTTAAAAAATATAATGGAACATTTCTGGCCTCCCCAGAGCTCTGATCTCAACCTTATTGAATCAGTGTAAAATCGTCTTGATAGAGCATTGAATGTCCTTCAAAAAGCCTGGAGAACAATTGCAGAAGACTGCTTACAGAAATTAGAAGGAAATTTGCCTAAGAGAGGATGTGTTGAAGAATAAAGGTGGTCATACCAAATACTGACTTTCAACCTTAGTAAAATTGTCAAAAGTTTCTGCCTTATACACTGCATTTCCATTTATGCTTGCACATGCTTCAGAAATTACATAACAATGAATTTAATTGCAATTAGTTCCCATTTTCCTAGAAAAAAAGAAGAATGGAGGTCAGTTCTAGACTTTTGGACAGCATTTAACGATTTAAAGTTGAACTGCCAACAACTAGACAGAGATAAAAGTCATATCATTCCATAACTCCTGTTGACATTTCAAATAATCATGTTATTAATTTATCAACATCAGTGATTTTTGCCCTCATTTTTCATGTTACTTTAAAACTTAAGAAACTACATTTTTAAAAAAAATCTGTTTATCTCAAGTATTCAGTAGAACAAAGACAATCTAAGAGCCTTACATCTCTACAAAGTGTTAATAAGTTATCTACATTACAACACACAGAAGTGAAATTGTGTTACCAGCTAATTAGTCAAATTTACACATTTATGCAAATTCTTAGTGTGTATTGACATGATGTTTAAAGACATTTGCTTTTGGCAACTTCTAAATCTACGTTTTCCCATAACCTCCGTGTTCAGTTCAATCACGTATTGATGTAAACTTGGTCAAGGTTGCACAGGCCATTTGGTCAGCCTGTCGAACATGTCCAGATCATGTCTGCCCGAACTGTCCAGAGAACACAGAAAGCTCTAATCCCTTGTTTGCACTGTAATCAATGTCAATATAGATCTCAGACTAATTACATAATCATACTTGTATCAATAACAGATGGAACTGATTTCTAGACAGTCCTTTATTTATAAAAGTTTACCTCATTATAAGGTAAACACAGAATGTATCCTTGACTTTCAGATACAAATAGTACATGCAAATTCTGAAAGCAAGTGAAGGAGCTTATTTGAAGTCCCTCAATGAACTTCATTAGTCACAGCCATGCATTCTTGAACATACAGATGCACATCTTAAGTCAGAGTCATATATGGACCCACACATGCATCCAGTATATTCACACAAGCACACAGCCCCTTGGACATGTCTCATTAAATTCAGGTGAGCAGATTAATTAAAATGATATTTAAATCCCTCGGGGCTGTAAATCTGCACTACTGGGGGTATATGTCACACACGCATACAGACACATAGACATACAGATAAAGCATATTGCACGCTGCATAGAAATGAAAGGTAAAGGTAAGATGAGTCATTTGTGGGTAAGCATAAACAATTATGCAAGCAATGAGTAAATAAATAATTTGATTACTTATTAGATCAATGCTGAAAATGTTATTCTCAATTTTAAAAATCTTTTCTAGCATAAGTATCAACTTTTGTCATTACTTAGAACTGTCACACTCTGAATCCTTCTGCTATGAAGAAAAAAGAAAAACAAATAGGGGCGAAAGGAGAAAAAACTCCACCACACGGCATAATTATCAAAATAATTTTTTTTTAAATGCTTGTCATACTGGATCTTTTTTGCACATGAATGCTAAAATGTTTCATTGTTACGTCTAAACCACTTAAGGCTACTTCACCACATGGTGACACTGGGGGTTCTTGAAAGGTGAATCAGCCATCTGTATTCATATTCACATGGGGTGTTTATACACGATATCAACAAAATGTCATTGCATACTAACACAGAAAGCTCAAGTGTTACGTAGGAGGTGTGTTTCGCATATGCTCACCTACTTTCCCACCAATCACATCTAGATAACGGATATGAAATGAAACTTCAGAGCACTTAGATACGTGCCTATCATCAAAAAGGAAATGATGACAGGAAGTGTCAGGTGTACATAAGTCTAATGTCTTTCTTCTTCAAGTTAGCCTCTGCATTTTGAAACTGCGTATTTTTTAAAGTTAATAGCAGTTTTAACCGCTCGTATTTTTCACGCTTGCTTCGCGTTGTATTTATTCCGATTCAGGTTCAGTGAATTGTTTGAAGTTGACCCGAAGAAAGAAAGTGATTAAACATGAAAAGTAAACGAACAAAATAATAAAACCCTCAACTGGTATGCTTCGAGCCCTCTCATGACCTTCACCTGCTGGAAAGGTGGAGAGGCAAATTGCATTAGAGAATGGCACGTCATTCATCTGGCCTGTACTTGGAGGATCATTTAGCTAATTTAATGATTAATAAGTTTAACACCTCTTAATAATTTCATTTGGCCCTCTGATTGAAATCCTGGGCTGAGCGCAGCGGGAGGCAGATGAGGATGTCTGCGACTG